TTTCTGTGCATTATTCAATGTGTTCAGTATTCTACCACCTAAAAGTCAATCTTTTCAGAATTCTTACAGGGCAAACGATCTTTGATAACAAAATATACCAACATCTGTTTTAGTGGTTTTCTAAAGATTATTTTGCCGAACATAAAAATCGGTCAAGAGCCGGTGAAAGATATGAGACAAAATTTTTCTTTACCCCTATGACTTTACAAGAAACTTCAACTTATAAAAGAGGACGTTCGTTTGCCCTGTAAGAATTCTGAAAAGATTGACTTTTAGGTGGTAGAATACTGAACACATTGAATAATGCACAGAAAATCACTCTTATTTTTTTCGTAGGGCTTATCAGCACTCAAATCAGCATGCGTTTACTTGGAGAAAAAAATCTGTAGAAAATCGTTAAAACTCTGAAAAATGGAGAGTTACAATACACGGATCACATCCAACTTTTTATACTAATTTCAACGCTATGGTTAAATTTTTTGACAAAATATTGTTGATGCTGTTCTTTCCGATGCTATATTTCGTTTTCAAAAGTAAAGTTATGCAAGTTTTGAAAGAACAATGAAATGTTTCTATAAATTTTGAGGAGGCAAAAATTATCGTTATTCTGTGGAAACGTTTTTTTGTCTTTATGAACAGTCTCAATTAAAATCAAGTTTCATATTCGAGTAGAGCAAAATCAATTGACTATACTTTGCATTTATATTTCAATTTTAGAGTCTATGTGAACTAAAGAAAGGAACTGACAACTGTTGTTGTGACTACTCTGTACAACACATTATGAAAAGTGAAATTAGATAGAGTTACTGCTGAACGTACCGTTATTTATTATGTATTCATTACCATTACCTAAATATTTAAAACAGGATGATTTATTGAAAAAAGTTTTTACTGTGACACCAAACAAATTCGATACGAACCATTTTGTGGTGTATTCCCATTGATAGGATATTGTTCTAAATATGAATATGTCAAACTTTAATATAAACCTATATCGATTTAATATAACCCTTTTTCTCATACCATTGATATTTTCATTAGTTGGATAGGAATTTCCACTACCTGGTAACTGACCATTATCTATAGAATAAAAAGTCGTTAGAAAAAGATCTTGTTTCATTTCTTTCTCTACGTATTATATGAAAAAGATCCAATATATAATTTTTTCTGATAGATTATTTCTATGTTTCCTATACTATTATTATTTTCATTATTACCAAGATAAAATCATAGTTTATCATAAAATATGTTAATGTTCTATCATGATTTCTTAATATACTTAGCAGTCTTATCTGACGCTTAAAGTCTGAAAGTTTTCAATGATAGTTATCATTCACCACAGACATAACAATTTTAAAAACGTTTTTGTTTTACTTACTATAACCTTCACCTGGTTGACTTGAATAACCTAAAAAATAATACTTTTCTTTAGACTTCTAGCTTCATAGTCTACTACTGATGGTTTATAAAACCTTTTTCTTTCTCAAGAGATGGATAAAACAAGATACATACCATTAGGCGGAACGGTAGAAGCAGTACTACCTAAAAATATCAAAAATATTAATTTTTTATACAGTCGTAATTTTTATTTATATAGAATGATTTCAAATACAGTTCTTACTAATACGGCAAAACTAAGTTGAAGTTCTAGTATTATGTACCGACGAAAATATTCTTTGAATTAATGACACTATCTTCAAACTAGAAAAGAACCAGTCTTACTTGCAATTATATCTTTTGAAAAATGAAAATAAAGTGATTTTAAAATAAGATCAGTTAGAGATATTACTGAGTTTAGACTAAAATAATTTAACTCTGATGTAACTTTTTTCTTAAAAACAGCCAAATCATTGAACTATAAATGAATTTAGACGTGACTAATGAGAATTAGTTGTTTAATAGTGTTTTTGTAACAATATTAGTACCTTCGGTTAAAGAGTTATTCATCATCGCTTGTGGACAACATGGATAACAAGCAAACATGGATAATGCCTCAGCAACACTAAAACAATAAAATAAAACGTCATCTACTGACAGGTATACAGTTATCAATATACCGTTCAGCCATTGAATCATAAACTGTACACACCGCCGTTGCCGACGGTGGCATACATTCTGAACAGATTTGTTTTAGACATGCAACCATTTCTGTGTTGCATGTTTGACGGTCAAACATACAGCTACTAAAACACATTCGATGTAAACATGTACATTCTTGATAGCGTTTTTGATAACATCGAAGAGCAGCAAACGAACGTCCATGCTTTTCCCAAAATGGACAAGATCCAGATGAACATGAGCGTTTTGGTTTTAATGATGCCAAATAAGCATAGGCTGACTGTTGTGATGAAACTTTTGTACTTTGTTGTTTGATAACAGCTTTTTTTGTTGTTGCTTTAACGGCAACTTTCGTTTTCGTTGTTGTAGTTTCATAACTAAGTGAAACAAAAATGATGAGAAGTATCCACGATAATTTGTTAGTAAACGCGATCATTATGTGAGTATGTCTGTGTGTGTGTGTGTGTGTGTGTGTGTGTGTGTGTGTGTGTGTGTGTGTTATTATCAAAATGGAAAGTGTACAATAATGAAATTGATCAAAACGTATGTATATAAGTGATACTATGAGTTTGGATTATTTCAAATGTATGTACGTGAAATAACACCATGTCGGGCTTAATAAACAAAATAAGAATTGAGAATTCAAACACATTCTTCACAACGTCTAATTGAAACCAAAAATTTGTGTAACAATCGTTAAAAATGTCACATAAACACACAAATTGTTTTCTATTAAAGGATGAGGATTTAATTTGACCATGGCTTTTAACATTAACAAATTTAGAACCCACGTCTTAATGACTGACCTTACTTTTTACATCTTAAATTCTAGCACGTGAATGAAAGAATTCCATTCAATGTCTATATAGATCAAATAGATGAAATTAAAGTTTTATCACATCACATATACTCAGAAATAATTATGGAATCAACACGCCCTTGTCTTACAATCGGTGTAAGACTATATAAATCACCCCATGAGGTTTTTTTTGGTTGATCGGCTAATCGATTCTTCACAGCTCATGGTGACCGCGATCAAAGCTGCGATTTCATAGTGCACAATCGCGATTGTTTTGATCGCGGTCGCCATGAGCTGTGACGAATCGACTAGCCGATCAACTCAAAAAAAACTTCATGGTGCTAAATAGGATAGAGAACCCATGAGGTTATTTTCTGGTTGATCGGCTAATCGATCCGTCACAGCTCATGGTGACTGGGGAGAAAACTGCGATTTGTGATTTCCATGTATGAAATCGCACTTTTCTCCCCAATCGTCATGAGTTGTGACGGATCGATTAGCCGATCAACCAAAAAATAACCTTATAGGAACTTCCTTGTTTAGATACTCATTTACTAATTAATTAAATCAACTCCGTTTTATTAATAACTAAATATTTTTTAACTTTTCCGAATCATCATAAATTAGAAATACAGTAGACTACGTATACGTAACTCATGTTTTGAACCGTAACGTTGTCTTTCAATAAACTGATAGAAAAAAGACGCTTTCACCGAGATTAATAAGAACCATTCTTTCTCCACTAAATACATCTACTGAAAATGAGAACTTTCTAATTTCTAAGTAAATGATTTACCTACCGCTAGCTGTGTCGTACTGGTATCTCTTGTAACATTTAGAATCAAATCATTTATATGAAAATCAATGCCATACCTCAGAAATTTTTATAAAACCTCTACATTTTTTCGAGAAATTTAAAATTTTTAAATACTTCTTTCTTGTACAGGAAACAATTGTCCACGTTAAGAGTACCTTATATAGCCATTTAGCAGAAATTGTTTTAAAACTTGAGTTTATTAACAAGAAGATCTTGATACAGTCATTAATAAAGTTATACGTGTATGTATTTAATTGAAATCAGTAAAGCTAACTGTTTTTGGTGAGTTTTACAATTACGTTATTGACAGACCGTTGAAATCAACATCAAAATCTATCACGCTAGCTATACTTCGTAAAATGAAGCCTGTCAAATCGATAGTTCCTTAATTAAGAATTATTAAGACATGTTCGATTCTTTTTTTCCTTTTTTTGTCAAAATAAGAAAAACTTATGACATATAATTTTAAAATAGATTTAGGCAACACCTACAAAATCAGCAATCTATTTTTACTGTATTTTCTATGTGGATAGAGTTAGAGTATAAAGCGATCGTTGGCATCACACATTAATAAATAATTTAACCTGCAAACGCTGACAAACGATTGGAATGACGTATATACGATAAGCAACAACATATTTTTGAAGGCTAACTAATAAACTTTTTAATTTAAAAGAAAAGAAAAAGCACTTAAGGCATAATTTACAATTATGATTTTTGTCAAAAAAAAAGGAATATGACAAGTTTGAATTTTGATTGTTTCCGATTTAATTTTTGAACATTTATTTTTTTTCTTGTGCGTAACGTCTTAATCGAACTGTAAAGAAACTTTTCGGTGAACAAAGAGAAAGAAACGAAGAGAGAAAAAAATAAACCCACCACTAAAAACCCCATGTTTATTATTCGGTTATAAATATCTGCATACACACAACTATTTATCACATTCCCGTAATAGACAAAATTTGTACCCACCATTATTATTACTAACATCAGAAATGCATTATTTGAAAACGTTAGCAATTTTTTTATTCTTTATACAAGTAAGTGATCGACTGTTAAATCTCTATTTATTTGTTTTAAATCTACTGAGATATGGATAAAATAACTGGATAAGTTTTTGTCTCGGGTTATAATACTCATAAAAATAAAAATCTACTCTTCTTTTTGAAATTAGAACATGTTATGACGATAAAATGAGTTTCATCGATCTAAAGATGAAACTTTTACTACAGAGAGAAGAGAAAAGTATGTTTTGATCATCAAATTTCTTTCTATCGAAATGATCACCAAAAATAACACTTTTGAGTACCAAATCAATTAAAGAAAATATACACAAGAAGAATATATAGCAATTTAATATCAAATTAATTAGTGGTCAGACAACAAAAAGAATATTCGAAAGCAAGAATGGAAAGTATTACACACAGCTAGATTGTCCGATGAAGGAAAAGAATACGCAAAATTACAGTTTAATGTTTGCCAATATTGTCGATCAGATTTAAAAAACCATAGAAAATATTCGTTCAAATGTAGTGAGTATAGAAAGTATCCTTTTTGTCATAGTATGCATAAGTCGTACTCGCAGCGAAGTGAAAAAAACATAATGTGAATCCATAATATAGATATATAAATTGTTCTTCTTGTTATGGAAATTTCTTGAAACTGTGTGCGGGATGGGGAGCAGGGTGATTGGCTGTGAGTATTTATACAACAAGCCAACAGTGTTTGTGAAGTGTGCAAAGCAATAAGAAAAAAACCTAAGTTTTGCTACAGGCGTTCAGTAACGGAGCGAAGAAAATTCCTGTCGCAGCAAATACAAGAATCTCATACACATATGTTTTTAACTTCGCCACGAATGTGACCTATGCATACTATGACAAAAAGGATACTTTCTATACTCACTACATTTGAACGAATATTTTCTATGATTTTTTAAATCTGATCGACAATATTGACAAACATTAAACTGTAATTTTACGTATTCTTTTCCTTCATCGGACGATCTAGCTGTGTGTAATACTTTCCATTCTTGCTTTCGAATATTCTTTTTGTTGTCTGACCACTAATTAATTTGGTATTAAATTGTTATATATTCTTCTTGTATATATATTTTCTTTAATTGATTTGGTAGTCGGACAGGATCTAAGCGATCAAACCGATCCCTCTCTCTCTTACAAATAAAAGCGCTTTATAATAATAAAAATTGATTTGTTGATCAAAAGTGTGATTTTTTGATGATCAAAAAATACATACCCCAGAGAGAATATTCAATATTTTCTTATTCTATCTCAGAAGAATATTTAATATATCTTTGACGCAAAATAACAAAGACAGATACCGGAAAAAGATAAATGAAATTTAATATTCAAGGAGACTCACGATATCTAGTAGTGGAACAACTAGTAGTACTAATTAATTGAACTGTACTGATTCAACCGTATCTAGTGCTTGCCCGACACCCCCACCATAAGGCATCTTTCTTAAACTTACACTCTTACATCTTAACCTCGGGATGTAATTGGAAGAAGTTTCACAAAATAGAAAGAGTGGACTAAATCTAACTTAGTTTTTATATATTCAGATCTTTCAATTGGCATTCGGTCGACCATCATCATATTTACAACATAATTTACCCCAGCCGGACTACGACACCAACCTGGATGATATAGATGAAAATGCTTTTAAGGATTTAATCGAACGTTCGTTAAAATCGAAAAAATGGATCAAATTTTCCAAAGACAATAACAATGAAGATCGACGAAAAAAATTTTTGGAATCGGCACACAGTTTACAAGGTTTATGGGCTATGCCGGGCAAATGATAAAAAGGGAAAAAACTGAATAAGTTTTCATGCTATATTTCATCTAATTCCTGAACAAATAAACCGACCCTATTTGTTTTCCTCTCTCAAAAAATGGGATAAGTAATGTACACAATAAAGAATTAGAAAATCATCTATGTTCATGAAATTTTTTGGACATAGAATATGTTTTTTGATGGGATAAAAATTTTATTCACGAAAGCAAGTATCGCTCACAGTAGCTTTTTTATAGTCACACTTCACATACGGAATCTTTTTAAATTGTTCTTAATTATCTAATAAGCATCAAGATAACAAAACATAAGGAACATATTTTATACATTAACTACGTTGAAGAAAACAACCTACAAACGCTTTAGCAAGCTTATAATTCCATACTTTCCGCAAAACGCCTTCATGAAAAATTGTACGACACAATGTTGGTCAGTGACTCACTCTCACCCTCACCATCTCAGATCGACGATATACTGTCGATCTGACCTGTGTAATGGTCCTTTTTAAAGCATACTCTTCAAAAGTTAATTTTAACTCTCTCGATCTAGCTCAACTCGGCATGGTAGCAATAAAATTTCAAACACGTATCACATCATTTTTTTATTTGAGGCATCATGCCTTAAACGTACCATAGAGTGGACACTGGCGAGAAGGTGATATACTCAACAGCTTTGTCAAATCACTATACGCAGCATATTAATTTACATAACGGATCTATTAATCAAACGTGTAAAAAATATTTTATATTCAAATATCTTTCTCATGCAATTGCTTTGCTTTTCTTATTGCTGAAAAAAAACTGGTTTTACGTGAAGTCAATACAATTATTCTCCTTTTGTTTGTCTTGGCAACAATTAAGTAACAGCACACAGCAGTATAAATGACACATTAATGCACTTGAAGATTTAGCGTTTCTCATATGCGAAATTTCTCTCTCATAAGATTTATGTTTTTATTACTGTTCTCTTTTATAGTCGATCTTTCTTCACTTCTTCGAGCGGGAAGATTCGTTCTTTTGGCACCTGCAATCTGTCTAAAAAAAATGCGCCAATAGCGCGCATACGCTCGCTATTCATCGTTATCACTTAGTTTGTCCTTTAACTTTTTGTTGGTTTTACACCGAATTCACTATTATTAGTGTGAAATCAGCATACTCTGTACTAGAATCCTGCTAGTTTAACCCGATTCTGAATCCACAATTTCGAAATAGTTAAACCCTTAGGATTCTAGTCTATACTCTGCATTGTGTGATGGTCTTAACACAATAATTCAGATTATTGGCGCCGTCTATTGAATCTGAATAGAGTTTTTCTTCGAATAAAGATTATTATTGGTGAATCTCTCTTTACAAATTGTCACGACGACCAAACAACAATCCCAATGCAAATACAACACTATCATCTTATTTTCTCTTTCTAAGAGATAAAAGTTTAAAATTATCAACAACAGGTATGTATTCTTTCCTATTAATTGACGCTGATCACATTTCTCCGTAACTTAATTAAATAGCTTGTCTAAGCTATCCACGGGATCTTTTTTTCTCTATTTATAGCGTTTATAAGACTATAAAACATGCTGTTTCTTAAATTATGGTATTATAACGCTATAGATTTATCTCATTACAACGCAATAGACGTAGCCCGTTGTGTTATAACGCGTTGCAAAGTTATTTTTCAGGAATTTATGGCGTTGAAAGTGGATAAAAATTTTCATTGCATTATAACTCTATAAATTTATAGCATTATAATGCGTTTCAATTTTTTGTCTTGTTACAACGCAATTAGATTTGTCTACCGCTTTATAATACGTTAGATTCTAATGTATTATAACGAGTTTGAGCTTTCTGCTTCAATATAATGCGTTATAATACCTTAGATGTTTTATCTAATTATAATGCCATACATTTGGAAAAATCTTTTATAGCGTTATAACTCATTAGATAATGCATATCGTATTGTAACGAGTTAATATCTAATAGATTACAATGCATTATTCTTTTCTATCTCATTGCAATGAGATAAGAAAATGGAACTCGGTGTAACACGATAGGAGGTATTAATGCGTTACAACGAGTTAGACAATATCCAAAACGAAAATGCATGGTTTTCTCGTAAAGGATACATTTTCATAAAATTCTGGGACTGCCAATCGATTCCTCTCGAAAAGTTGAAAAAATTACTTCAGCTATATCAGACATATACGTTACTGACTTTTGACTTCGGACATAAACTTCCACAGCACACTTATTACCACTGTCACGTATAACATTACAGCGCCTGAACTGTTAATGCATTATAATGCAATAAATTTATGTCGTTGAAACGTGTGAAGAACTTCTATAGCCTTACAATGAGTTAGAACAGGCATAATGCGTTACAGATTAATGCGTTATAATGCGATAGGAATTTAGTAACGCCTTGTAAACTATTAACGCGTTAGTCGAATTTATAGCGTTATAACATTATAAAAATATGAGAAAGTCGTTGACAAAAATGTATATTATAACACTATAATTTCAATTTTTTGGCGTGTAACACGCTACGCTAATGCATTAAAGACGTGTTTTTTCTAAATTTATCGCAACACAATAGAAAAGCTTACACATTACACGGCATTACGATATGCCTAACGCATTAGAATGCAATAAATACGAAAAAAAGATCCTCTGGATAGAAGTTAAAGTAACCTTCTGCTCCTATCACACGTCTGAAAAGAATATCTTTCTTGTGACTTTGTTTACTAATAAGCACAGGAAATGTGAAATGAATCCATCGGAAAATTTGAGTATATAAAACGGAGTGTACATCCGTAAATATCATGAAATGACCGTAAATATCATGAAATGACCGTAAATATCATGAAATGAACCGTAGTCGCACGTGAACATCGTAAAATGGTGTGTGGGCACGCATGAAAAATATATTCCACTTGTGAGAACGCATGAACTGCTCACGGACATTTTTCGCACGTGGTCACTAGTGAAAATCGTAAAATGGTGTGTGTGAACACATGTGAAAAGAAATACTCGCTTGTGAACGCCTGTGAAATTGTAGAAAGTCCACGCATTTGATGGTGCAACTGCACGACCCCAACGCGGTGAAACTTCGACAAAATTTCTCCATGGGTATAATAAGGGGCTGTAGACTGCTAAGAACCGTTCAGTTCACAATCAATGTGTTTATCAGTATTCAGAATCCGACAAAAGATTGTTATACTTATCATTTCTACTTAGTTAATAAGCAGCATCTACATAGGGCGTAAAAAAGTGCTCGGACTGATTTTCTTCTAAAAAAAGTAAAAAGCTTTGTTGCCTGTTTATAGGGTCATACAGTCCTCTATCCATAGACATTACGAGCTTTGATCGATCAAATATTTTTGTACTAGAATAACATGTTTTTAGATCCCATTGTAACAAGTGGTGCAGATTAAATAACACTCAGTATTTTGTTCATAAATTTTTTTCTTTCATTTTCAAGAACCAATCTTTTTTTTGCAAAAAATGCATTTTGAAATTTTCTACAAAATACATATTGAGTGTTTTGCTACAAAGTGTAAGGGTGGCGCGTTATACGAATAATAGTGAGAAGATCTAAAATGAGCAAAACTGTAACGCACTTTTTAGAATATTCAAGTTTTCTTTTAAAGTACTTGAGCAGATATCAAGATACACTTTGTAGCAAAATGAAAATCAGAAAATGATCTGTTGTGTCGTTTTCGTAGCCAAATTATCATTGTATTAGGTTATTACTGTTGTTTATGTGTCTTCTGCGGGGGTACTCTAATTGCGGTTCTCTTTTAAAATTGTGAACGCTGCTATTTTCACTTTTCCATGTAACTGCCATATTGAAACCGCTTGTATTTTTCGTTTTAATGTTTTTGTTAAAGAAGAAACAAAAATAGTTAGACCGAGAAAGTCGGTTTTCGGACGTTATATATCGTGTAAATAAAAACGGAGCTGTTTCTCTAATTAAAAATGACGGGTATATTAAACCCAGATGTAGTACCATTCTGCAGTTGTTTAGTTGAGATATTCAAGTTTTTTTCGACACCAATCTTCAGTTCTACTTTGACATGAGACATGACTTCCTTAACACAGATTCAAGTTTTTTGTGCAGAAAATGTTCAATAAACTGCCACAAGTATTTGCTCGTGTTCAAGGAAATCATTTCTCAACATCACAGATGTATACTACTACTTTGAGACAATAAATATCGGTCACACATTAGGTGGTTTTGAAGTCAACAAAGTTCGATAAAAGAATTGCAACTTACAGTTATTTTTCATCCGTGAAAGAATGAAAATAAGTTTTTTTAGAGCGCACACTTAGGAACTTTGTGGTTGTTTATAAATGATTCTGGAAACACTGCAAAACGCAATTGTTTCACTTCTGATGATGTCTTTTACTTCAGATAAATTACTCGGTCACCATGGTCGATTGCTTTGGACAGTCTTCTGCCAAAAACTTGCTTATATCAGATAGTCTAAATGATCTTAATTGTATTATTTTTGATAAAACTGGACCAATACGTGAAGTTAAAGAGAGATTAAGTGCAAATTGGTTTCCAAATCGCGAAGAATTTTGTAAGAGATTCAAATTTGTAATAAAATTTATCTTTGAATAAATATGAGTGCTATTTCTTCTAGGTTTGAACGATGTGCCATCCACAACATCTGTTTTACATTCACGTCCATTGCTGAAGTCGAATTGCATTAATGATGCAAGTAATCGAACAAATTTTTGCATAGATTCATTTCAACCGTCATTGTTTGGTTCTTCCAGAAGTGGAATGACGCGATGGTGAGTCTTTGAAGATCTTTTCTCTTCTGTTAAACTTTACTTGTTTGTTTTCTTTCATAGTGTATCGGATGCAAATGGTCTTAATTTGTATGGAAATAAAAATAATAATAATGAATTCGGCACATATTTAATAAATGATTCAAATACAAATAGTAGAATAGCATCATCATCGATATCCGATGCTCTTTTGTCACCATTGACAAGAGTACAATTTCCATCAACAGTGTTTCGTTCTAATAATATATTGAGAAATGTAGGAATACCATTATCGCAGGTGAGTTTCACACGGTGCTATATCATCTCCTTTTCTTATTAATTATGAATGTTCTCAGTTTTCTTCCTTCTATGATGAGCAGTGAATGATGAGAAGTGTAATAGTCATCAGTTTGATTACATACATCGTTGTTTTTTAGTTCTTTTTTTTTCTCTTTCTATATCGTCCAAGTAAAGAGATAATAAAGTGAAATAGAAGAATTATTTATAAACAAAATGACCTATGCCTCTTCGGATTCGGAAACGTGATTGAACTGATATCTATTTTCTTCTAATTATACTTCACCCAATTAAAAGAGATTTATCTTAAATCGCAGATTCTTACAAAACAACCATCTGCCTTTTAGAAAAGATAAATGTCAGATACATTTTGACATGACTAATTGAATCTTCTCGAACTTTTACTCTCGTCAAAAACATCCGTCTATTGTCAAATCGAATGCCAGTTAATCAGAGAAATGTATATCGTTAACCTTCCCGTTGTTTCGGTTTATCATTTTGCGCATATTTTTTTGATATATTTTATTTTTAGTCACAATCGACTATTGGCGGTTCTTTCGAACAATTGCCATCGCTTGACCGTTGTAGAGCATATTACTCATCGTTTACACCTCCGTCATCTACGGAAGAAACAACAACAATGTCACGCTCATCAAGTAGACAAACGTTCACCGTTATTGATGATCCAATGATGGACACATCTCTGTTCCCTAGAGAACCGCCGATATATGACGAAGAACAACTGGTGTTGGATGAGTATACACCATATGGTACGTAGTATATAGTCTTACTTTTGTCTACATTATTTGTACACACTACACATATTCGCAGGGGAAATATCATCGATTTTTCATAACACTAATCGTCCTAATGAAGTACCAACGTATCGTGGCGCTTTGCCAACGAGAATACAAACAACATCTGGTGCATTATCCCAAAAAGTTTTTCTAGGTGGAATTCAATCAGACGTGATTACTGAAGGTAGGTGGAAAAGCTTTGTTATATGTTGGTTTCCTTGTTAACTTTTTAATTCTGTTGTTTGGTCGTAGCTGATCTTTTATCAATACTACGACGATTTGGCAAGTGTCAACTTAAGTGGCCGAAGAATGATACATTTGGTTCGTCAACGTCAGGTATAGAGACTATGCAAACATTCATCAAAATATTTTTGTTATGATTGTTATCTTTGAAGGCTTCTGTCATGTTATTTATCGTGATACTCGGTCTGTATTAGAATTATTAAAACATTGTACACGTTGTCAACGTAATTCAGTCGATTATTTTCTTGAAATTCATACAACAGCAACAACATCATTATTTTTTGAAAATAATAATAGATCAACTAAACTTAAACCGGTTTGTTAGCGCATAGTATATCTTACATGAATATTTATTTTCATGTGTTCTAATTTCATTAATATAGATTCAAGTTGTACCATGGAACATACGCGACAATATTTGCGTTATTCAACAATTAGATATTAGCGGTGGTGGAATGAAAGATTGGTCACGAACAATATTCATTAGTACATTACATGGAAAAATGACAGCATATGGTCTAGCTGCAATTATGTCTCAAGTGTTTGGTACAGTATAACAAACTTATCAAATTTTGAGTTTTTCATCTTTATTTTATCCTCTTTATAGGCAAAGTATCATTAGCACAACTGAACACTGATAAATATGGTTATCCAACAGGTATGATCATGATGAAAAATTTTCTCGAAAAAAAAAAGAAGATATATCATTTGTTTTCGTTGTTTTAGGCACTGCTACCGTATTATTTAGTGATTCATTGGGTTATATGCGTGCAGTGGCAGCTGGATCAATCGATATTAAATGTGAATGTTTTCATAAACTAGTTAGTGACATAAAACAAAGAATCTTATAACAACCATTTATTTATTCTCTCTGTTATCTGTTTAGCTTGAGATTGAACCGTTTCTTCGTGAAAATGAACCATGTTATTATTGTCCAAATGCTGCCGATAATTTTTGTCGAAATCTCCGTTGTCTAAGATCATATTGTAATTCATGTTGGATAAAAAAACATAGCTCTAAACCGTTGGCGTCGTCAAACGATCATCCGCCGATATCAAGACGACAACAATCTTTTCCGTTTGCTACATTAAATTAGTTTTTGTTTTACGTCGACTTTTTTTACAGTGCATTTTATCAAATTAGGCTATTTTTATATAAAATAAGTTCGTCTGTGTGTTTTCTTTTATTAATTTGTTGTTATCTCTTCTGTTATTTTGGTAAAACAGAAAAACACTATTTGTATTCTATGTAGTGTGTGTGTGTTTCTTCTGTATATACTTATACGGAGTATTTTTTATAATAGTTGTTTGTCATTGCATGTTATGGAGAGATATTTTTCAAGTTGTAATTTTAAAATATTAATTGAAATATAGAGAGCAAAAAAGACACACTTCTATAGTATCTCATCGAGTTGGGTTCTAAGGACAAATTTTGTTCTTCACTTACTGAAGATACTAATTTGAACTTACAGAATAGCTGAATTAGATTTCTTTCTCGTTACAAAACGAAAAAGTTGAACTTGGTCTGCAGAAGACGTTGTACAAAGTAGGGTGAAGATAAATGAATCGGTCGATTTAAAATAATAAAATATTACAAAGTCTAAGTTTTTCGAAATTCTACAGAAATTGTAATTTTGGATTTTTTGTGATCTCCCAACGCAGTAACAAATGTTCAGGATTTCATGAACTAAAAAAATTCCCGACACGTATTGGGACAAATGGATAGAGATTCTACATCTGATTACGTCAATAAATCTATTCCAATGATTAAAAATAACAAAAGCATACTTCAATCGTGCAAAATCGAGTTTTCTAGAGAATAGCTGAAAGAAGAACAAAAAGTCATTCATGATTTCCTATATACAGCTCACATAGGGTTCAGTAATTCATTTCACTAAATCATGCAAAGTCAAGAAGATCGTCATCATTATTCATTCTAACTATTTAAAATTATTATGAGATGAGAAAGATGTTAATATAAAAATAAATCTTGATGGTTGCATTACAAAATTAAAACATTAGGTTTTCGACAAAAAATTTAAAATAAGTAGACGAATACAATATCTGAAAGTTTTTTTAAGAATATACTGCTGTATATGTTATTAAGAAATGCATGGGATAAGGAAGAACGTTTAATCGTCTCTCATTGTACTAGTTTTCATTTTTTTTCGATTAGAGCACAAAAAAAACGTTAGTCTCTAATACTTATTCATTGCAAGTTAAACTAGCGTTTTTTTTTACTTCTATAAGACATTTGAAATATCATAATGTTTACATGGGAACGGTACTTTATCGTTGAATAACTTTTCTCTCTACTAAATTTGTTTTTCCGAAGGCGCGCATTAAAAGTATACTTTATTTTTTTTTGTCTGTTAATAATTAGTGCGTTTATTAACGCCTATGAATCAACCTTTTTTGAATAAATTTCTTTTAAACTCTAGATAATTTTTTTCTTATGGAAAAGTAACTAATTTTTTTTAGTTTAAACAGTTTAATATTTTCTCTGTCATAAGCAATGCTAGTAAATAATAATGAAATATTGTCTGTTGGAAACACACAAAAATTCATATTAAATGATGAAAATTTCGTTGATAAACTGATCAGTTATTTTTCTTGTATCGTATGTCTTGATATTAATGATGAAATCTATCAATGTGAAAATGGACATCTAATGTGCAAAACATGTTTATATCGACTATTAGCTGATGCAAATATACAATGTGTAAATGCCAAATGTCCTTGCTGTCGATGTATCATCGAAACAAAAAAATGCAAAAGAAACTTAGCTGTTGAACAGGTAGTGGCCGAATTGTTATGTGTTTATTGTATAGAATGTGAACAAAAAATTAACAAAAAGTGTTTTCAAAAACATGTGATGGTAATATTTTTTTATCAATTTCTTCAACTTTTATCGATTTTGTTAGAATAAAGTGATGATTAGAGAGCTGAATCCAGTGTATTGTTTCAGACATATCATTCAGAAACATTGAACAATAGATGTCAAAAAGTCGCACAATCTGACTGTGAACAACAAAGACAACGAGCAATCACATTAAATAGATGGTCAGCTATCGAACAACTAGAAACACTTATTGTTCATCCGTATACTTCAGATGATGATATGTTACTCACTTTCGTAGATGTTGGTGCAAAAGAGTTAATTTTCTATCCAATTTATACACAAATTGACGTTAATAGTGATACATCAAGATTATTTTATGAATGCAAATCATTTTATTCTCTAGGAATGAATTGGATTTCACGTTTACACGTCAAAGATACTGATGATAATGTCGGTGACGTTCAAAACAGACGGATACTCTGTTATCAATTAATCTTACTAACAAAAATTAAGAGTTCCATTAGAATTCGTTTTGCATGTGTTCATTGTCGTGATGAAAAGATTTCAATACATCCGGTAATGAACGAGTGTGAATTGAATAATAATTGTAATTACACAAAATTGATCAATATCCCGCTAACATTTGAACAATGCAACTCATTGTTAGCGAACGTACATATAAAACTAAGATTTGTCATTTTTTTGATTTGAAATAAAACAGTGTAATTAATTATATTTGATGTAAATGAATTCTTGAAAGATCGCAATTTCAAAACGTACTATTATTAAATGGGTTTTGATTTTTCTTTTGAGTACACCGTGGGCAATCATGTGGACATTAGGTGAACAACCGAAAAGGCGCTTTTTCAAGATTCAAATAGTGTGCAACATACTTCAATCAACGAACTATCTAATGATGTAAAAGTTATCGTTCCAAGTGCTCAAATTTGGGAAAAAATATATGGACAAAAAAACAGCCTAAATACTGGTGACTGTATACAAAAAATTGAATAAAAAAACGGATTAAGTCGATTTGAATTTGTAAACGCTACATATTTTGAACCTAGACTCTTTTAGCTATCGATCACCGAAAAAATTTTCCACTCTGACTCTACGATCTAGAAGAAAAAAGTTCGTTGTATCACAACAATTAGATCAGAAAATATGTTAGTTGTTCTAGACCTACACTACTACGTATGAACAACTTTATAATAGAGTAGTTGAAATTAATATACTGGAAAATCGACGGTTTTTATCGATCGTCCACCTATCTCTTACACAAATGGCTGTCATTTTACTGTGGAAATCTGTAAAATATAGGCCCGTATAATAATCTCGTAAATTGAAGGCCAGTAATCCCTTGACAGTAGTGATCAAACGTATACACTCTACAACTCAATAATCATGAACACTTGAGGCGTCAGAGTTATTGGGTGAGCTAGATATATATTAGGTTGAGGAAAAAGTTCGTGCGCCGTGTTAAAACAATGATTTTAATAATAGCTAGAATAAATTTGAAAAAAGATTTGAATAGCTGAAAGAATTTCCGATCTCAGGTGGTGTATACAAAGGCTCCATCAAAACTCCTGAAATCAGGGTCTCTGGAGAACTAAAATCTCAGAAAACCAAGTCCCAGAGTTCAATCCAGAAATTCTTTGCAAATAAGTCCATCGTGTAGAGCAAACATTTCTGAAGAAATTGAGACGTCTCCGAGCCGTTTACGACATTTTCTCATGGAGCAGCATTCAATTTACGGAAAGCCCCATAGCAGCAAAACTAACGGAAAAACAAGAAGATACGCCCTTAGGGCCTTTTGTAAATTGATT